CTCAGCCCTCGGCCCTCCCCCACCAGAGGCCCCGCCCCGCCCGCCGCCCGCGAGGCCCCGGTCAGCAAGCGAACGCGGGCGGGGGTCGCCGCGGCCGGAAGCCCACGGCAGCGCTTGCAGGGAGCGCCGCGCGGGCCGCGGCGGGGCAGGCCTGGAGGCGGCGGCGGAGTCCGCCTGCCTCCGCGTGGAGCGCCCCTTCACCGACACGGCCCGCCTCCCGAACGGACGAGACACCCGGGGACCACCTCCTCCTTTCCCGGCTGAGGGCGGAAAGGCAGGGCTGACGGCCCCCTCGCCCCGTGTCCCGGGACTCTCTAACCCAGCCAAGCGCCGCGTGCCCGGGCGCCCGCCCCACGGCCCTCCCCAGGACTCCACAGGGGTCGCTTCTGGCCCCCTCAGCAGAGCTCCTCGTCTGCCTTCCCTTGTGGGCGCCCGAGTGCTCCAGGTATTTGAGCTTGCGGACAGGGACGTGTCAGGTGCATCCAGGTTTTGTAGACAGCATCAGGGCAACCGTCCTGCTGTGCGACAGTGAAACAAGGGCGCCCGCTGACAGGTGTTCCCTTCACGCTGTAGCTGCCAGGGAGCTTCCAGCCAGGTTCCGCGCGCATCGGTACCCCGATGCTCACCTCGAGCCCCGCTTGCGCTTTCGTCCTCTGGTGTTTCTCCAATTGACAGTTTTAAAGTTATGGCCCCAAGCCCTTTAACACCTCTGGAGTTTAAAGCCCTGTCTCTCTGCGGAGAGGGATGGACACAAGACAACCTTATCCGAGTTCCTGGGCAGGTAGCACCGACCCTGAGGCCTGTAGCCTTCGGATGATCTGCGTGAAGGGATTTTGTTGTTGGCTTTGGGATTCAAGTGGAGAAAGATGAAGAAAAATTGGTGGCTGAATAGCAGCAGTCCCAGAGAATATGGACTCGTTCTTGAACACAAGAACACAGCCCTCCAGCTCCCAGAGCAAAAAAGGCTATCAAAATAATAAATTCAGGTATTATCACTAATATGGCTGTATTTTTACCCAAGGCTGTGGGACTTTGGGACATTTGGGTTACATCCAGAATACATGAGAAAATGATGTCGGTGAAATCGGATGGGACAGCAAGGTGATACACTGTGACTTAGAATCAGAGGACGCTTCCTGGAGGAGGTAACATTTGTATTGGATCTTAATTTGGAAGAATGGGATCGAACAGTCCAGGAAGGGTCCAGAGGTAGGAGGCAGATGGCATCCTAGGCTGAGTTCATGGTGAGAGTACAAATATTTAGTGAAAAATGAGGAAAGGACACTTGGGAATAGTCCATGAAAGCAGGATTGGGGTTCTTACAGAACTGTGAGAGTTTTTGAGGCTTCACTCTTCTTCAATCCTGAACCAATAGAATTATATTCTTCTTTTTCCACACACCTGTGCAGTTTCTTCTAGGGGGGAAAAGCAGATACCCCCCTGTTTTGGAGGAACTCTTGCTTCTTTACTCTAGATAATGATGATGACATTTTCTAGCCTGAAAATTATAGCATATACCCTGATATATTTAATTATTTAGCGAATCCTTACAAAGGTACACCAGAATGTTGAGACTACCAAGGCAATTAGGAATGACTCTCAAACTTCAGAATGCATAGGAATATCTGAGGTGTTCTTTAAAATGCAGGCTCCTGGGCCCTGCCCCCATAGATTCTGATTTTGTAGGTCTGAGTGGGACCTAAGGCTCTCCATTTTTAATACTGACAGAGATGTTCTTTAGATCACACTTGAGAAATAATGAGTTAGAGTTTATGGTGTATAGTAGGGTTAGGATGGAAAATGAATTAGAGAATGAAGCAAAACCAACTCAGAATGCGAAGGGCCTCATGCACTGTGCCTACAGTTTGGACTTTATCCCATGGGCTGAAGGGAGTAAGTAGAGGTCTTTAAGTCATGTGATTGTTTTTAAAAGCTAATTCTCGTATGGAGAAGGAACAGGGGAGGGGAAACATTGTAGGTTGAACAAAAAAATGAATGAATGATGATGCAGTAAAATATTCAGTAAATTATGTGGCACTTTTTGTTTTCAGTATTCTCTTGCTTTAAACAAAAGCCACTTAGAATATCTTTCTTTTAAAGCCTGACTATCAATGCAAATGTTCGCAAGTGACTTTCTCTTCTGACCTATGCCTTCTGAACTTCCAGATTTAGCATTAACATTATTCGCTGCCAGGCCAACAAAACCTTGAGTAATCCTACTGTACTTAGAATCAAGAAAAGAGTCTACTTAATTGGTCAACTGTTAAGAATATCAGCCTCAAGATCTTTTACATTAACTCACATATTCATTAAAATATCTGAATAAAACAGATTTTTAAAAATTATCTTGTGTTTATAATGAGACATAGTGCCTCTGCTCAATTCCTATTTAAAAAAAGAAACTTTAAGATTCTGGGGCAAAAATAAAATTATGATTGCTTTCAATTGGTATTGATAATAGTCTGCAACTGGGAAAACTAGCCTACTGGTGCAGCATGAAGATTCTGTGCTACTGTTTCGCAGTGATTTGCAATTAGTTATTCTTTGTCACATAGTTTTGTTTTTAGTGCATTATTTTTTAGGAGGATTTATCCATGAAGCATGGGAATCACAGCGTATTGATACGTCCTTGACTCACACTTCTCATTGATTATGAGAAGTGATGAAAAATTTTTTCTGCTGGGAGCAGTGTTTGTCAATATGCAGCACTGTTCCCAAGATGTTATATATGTACCATGTCACATTTCTTTCAAAAATGATATTCCCTTTTCAAAATTTTTCCAAACATGTTCTCTTTCTAGTCATTGTACTTATTTTATCACCAAAATAAAATCTTACCATTAAATTAACTTTGAAAACAATTTAAATAACTACAGGCCACAAGTCAGGAAATGATTTTTAATTAAAGCTTGAAATATACACTATCATTTTCTCCTCCACTAACAATCAGATTGCCTTGCCTTGCTCTCAAAATTGAAAGAGCCAAGTTATATAGATAGGTGGCATGTCGATGGCTATAGGGAACAATATGGCATAACATTTGGGCAATAAGACATGACATATCCTGGGAAAACCTTAATGTGTAGTCACTGTAACTTTTGTCCTCTCTCTCCTCCCCTTCCTAACCTCAGGAAAGATCCACAAATCCACATTTATCCCCTATGCACCCTTAGTTTTATATCCGCCTTTCCACAGATGCAACATGACAGCTATAACCCCGACATATCTTTATATCTCTACTGCCTCCCCAGAACTTCATTCACTCCATCTCCATCACTGTAGCTCCTTTTGTCTTTAAATATTCACTCACTAATCCAATCAAAAAATTGGGGGAGGGGAGCAAAAAACTAAGGTTTAAACTGTGGGGAATTACCAAGATAAAATAAGCATAGGTCTCCCCAACTTGAAAAGCTATCATTTGACGCCTCTTCCCTCAAAAGTAATTATGGATTGAAATAGCACCCCTGCCCCCAGGTTGGAAGGTTTTTGTGGAAAATGAACATATATTATTAGAAGGCAATGAGAACTTCCTGGAACAAGACAGGTAAACACACTGCAGTGTTTACCTGATAATTGAAATGAATGATAAGGTGAAGGGAATTGAGATGTTACAAAGTCTAAGATGAAGATGAAAGGGGAAAAAGATAATATTGGAACAGAAGAACTCAGTAAGATGGCCCAAACTGGTGAAAGAGGAGCTGCTCAAATACCAGATTTATTGACAACCAAAGTGGCTCAAATATGGAAAAATTCTGGTGCTTCTGAAATCCAGTAGGAGGCTGTAGTGGACTAAAGATGGCCATAAATTTTTTGTCATTCTCCCTGTCAAGAATAGGAGTTTATTTTCCATCATTTTAAATCTGGCTCTGTGACTGCATAGTCAAGAAAACACTACAGAAATGATGCTATACCATTTCTGGAGCTAATCTTTTGGAAGACTGGTAGCTTCTACTTCCTCTTTCTTCAAATGATCTCTCTTGGCACACTCCCTCCCAGAATCAAGCCACCCTACTATGAGAGACCCAGCATGGGACATGTATATCCTCTCCACTCAGGAGCCCCATCAGAGCCACCAGCCAATAGTGAACATCAAATGCCAGTCATGTGAGTAAGCCATCTTGGATGTTCTCTAGACTACTCAAGTTTATACAAAAGAACCTTCCAGCTGAGCCCGGCCAACTCATAGAATTATAAAATAATAAAATGGTTAATGCTTTAAGCCATTAAGTTTGGGAGTATTTTTTATATATAGCAATAGATAACCAAAATAGAGGTTAAAGAAAATATCTAATGATGAAATCGAACATGAAAATGGAATTAAATTTAAAGAAGAAACACAACCTCAATGATCAAGACTTAGAGGAAAGGTCAGGTAATAG